CTATCATTCACTATCAAGATGGTTGATTCCTGCCTCCAGTTGGACCATGATGCCATCCTCCATCACCCATTTGTTATATTTTCAAACAAGCACTTCCATGTTTGTTTCCTGCATGTTCCTGGGCATAGTGGATATAAATCCTTTATTTATGCTCCTCTTTAACTGTGTTGTTTAAGGGAGTTCACTCATGGCACCCCTGTGGTTCCAACAGATGTCTATTTTGAGCAATGATTTGTTTGCTTCTGGTTAATTGGATAAACAGGAAAGTGTATGAATATTTTATATGTAGGGTAAAGTTCTAGCCCCATAAAAGTCAATGGCAAACATCTCATTGACTTCCATGTGCCAGAATTTAGATCCAAGTGTCTAAAGATGGTGGTGGGAAGGTCCTCTTGGTTTAAGTTATACAAACTGTGGGCAGGGCCGGCTCCAGGCACTAGTGAAGGAAGCAGATGCTTGGGGCGGCCAATGGAAAGGGGAGGCATGTCCAGGACTTTGGCGGCAGTCCCGCTCTTCCTCTTTGAGCTGCCGCCGAAGTGCCGTCGAAGAGGAAGAGAGGGAGAGAAGGACCCGCGGCCAAATTGCCGCAGAAGAATGAAGTGGCGCGATTGAGCTGCCGCCAATTGGCTTTCTTTTTTTTCCCCCCTCCCCCCGCTTCGCCGCTTGGGGCGGCAAAAAAGCTGGAGCCGGCCCTGACTGTGGGAGTTTGAATAATTTGAAGTATAACCTTGAATGTCCGTTAAAAAATTTCTTATTGCACCATAAGAGCAATGGGATGGACATGAGCTCACAAGGTGAAATCCTGGCACCAATGAAGGTAAACTAATATGGGGATAATATTCAAGCTTTCTCAAATTGATTAGGAGTATTTTATACAAAACAAATGTCATTAGTTGCAGAGTCTACTTTCTTAATTTAATGGAATGCTAGGTATAATTTCCATTTTGTTATATTTATAGGATCTGACAGTACTCTATGAACTGTAGCTAATATTGTCATCAATATTTGATATACTAGTTTCCTACAAATATAGAAAAATCAAAATTGCAACTTGATCTATATACTGAAATTAGATGATATACTTCATAGTAATTGTGCTTCTCATTTTTAAAGAGTCTTTCAAAGAATGAACTAGCAACACACCTGCGGGAGTTGGATAGAAAGCAGCACTAGAATTTAATAGGTAAAGAAATAAAGGAAAAGAGATTAAGTGACCTGACTCAAGTGACAGCAGGAGACAGTATTAGAGCAGAGGTTCTCAAATTGGGAGTGGGGGTGGGTGGGCCCTCCTTGAAGGTGGGTGCAGAATGTATTCGGGGGAGGGGGGAGTGCCAGAAGCTTTAGGAAAAAACCTTACTGTGCACATTTTACCCACAGCAATGCATAACTAGCAAAGCTGATTCCTCCAGGCATATCAGGTCCTCAGATGGCGCTGTGCATTTGACTCTAGATGGCGCTGTGCATTTTGATGGATTTCTGTTAAGCTTGTATAGTATTATGCCAAGTTGTTGTCATCTGTACCTTAATCCGTTTGCTACAATGCAGTGTGCACATTTAATTGTAAGCATGGACCACAATCACAGTTTTGCTTTTACTCTTATTACAATAGATAATTGGCTCATTTGGACAACAGAAAAGAACAAAACCCTCAAATGAAAAACAAAGAAGCCAAAACTGATTCAAGTGAAGCACCACTGTCACATATATCTGTATATGTACTTGTGTGTGTGTGTGTGGGGGGTGCATAGGGCATAAACTACTACAGACACAAATTAGGGGGGCATGATCAAATACGTTTTAGAACCACTGTATTAGAGGGATTAGAATTTGCTTGTTATTACTTGTATCACAAGAGAGGCTGCAGTTGAGATCAGGGGGATTGTGTTCTAATTTAGATAGTTGTATAGCCCCCATTACTGAGGTATCTGATCTCTCTTTAATGGGAAAGGGTAGGAAAGTACTATTATTTCCATTTTACAGATGGGCAACTGAGTCACAGAGAAACCAAGTGACTTGCCCAAGATGAAACAGGGAGGCTAGCTGAGCAGGGAATCGTTTCTCAAATCCTGGGCTAGTACCCTGACTGCTGGACTATCCGTCCTTGCTGATGTGCTAGACACTGTACGGGAACCTAGCAGGAGACTCAGATCACTTGAGTCCTAGTCCAGTGCTTCAACTACAAGACGACCCTTTTCTGGGGCAGACAGAAAAATGTATATTTTATTTGTGTGCATTTTTGCAGTTCAAGGTAATTGCTAGAATGTCTGGAGACTAGATTAGAATTGTTATGTCTTTGCAAATTGGCAGTGGCATCATTTGTGATGTCAAGCCTCAAAGTGCCATGTCAGAAGTCAGTATTTCTGTTAAAGTTGTGGTTTTAAGTGACGTTTTAAATGCAGAAACAGTATTCCTGGAATGGCCACTTTGAGGGTCAGTATGTGTGGTAAATACAGGAAAAACAGTCTTGTGATGGAGTAGTCTGCCATCGAGGGCAATAGTGCCAAGTGGCAGCCCATCCTCTCCACATGGCTTGGCCCTTTTAAGGGTTTGGAAGGTCTCAATAGACACACATAGTGACCTAAGGGTCCTGCGAATGAATGGTGATTAGGGAAGGAGTCTGAACACGATACCTTTAAGGACCTGATACCTTGCAGAGGAGGCAGTGGAAGGCTCTCCTCTGACCAAACCAACTGGGAAAGAGTTGGGAGAAGGAGAGCAGCGTAAAAGCTGCCTCCTACCTCACAGTAACTGGACGCTGACAGGGGAAGGCAGGCTTGCTGAGCCCTCCAGATTGAAAGGTTAATTGGAGAGGGTGATCAGCGGAAGGGAGTTGGCCACAACTGACTAAGCTAAGGCAAGAGGCCTGAGATACAACCTCAGTCCCAGAGAGAGAGAGATGGGGCTGAGGGGAACTGCTGTTTGAAGGAGAGAGATACTGACTGTCTAAAGGCAACAGGCAGAGAGCTGCTAACCGTATGATCCAGCTGCCACAGGGAAGAGCTGAGACTGGCTTTTAGAAAACACTTCTGTAGTTGGTCCCAGGAGAAGCTGTGAGGAACTGCAAAGTCAGGTTGGGGGCAGCAGTCTGTAGATCTTGTGGAGTGACATAAAGGTAGGAGCAGCCCAGGGAAAATGGTGGAGAGACTGAAGGAGTGGTGCTTAGCTGCTTAAACAGGGTCCCTGGGCTGGAACCCAGAGGGGAGGGTGAGCCGGGTTTCCCTATCTCTCCCCCGGACCAAAAGGAGAAACGTGGGTGTCAGGAGTAAAAGAAGCCAAGAACGGCAAGTGCCTGAGAGAGGCCGGGTGATGGACTTGAAAGACATTAGATTTTGAGTTTCCTATTTCTGGACTTTTCTGTTATCCCTGGAAAGGGAATGTACTGGGGAATGAAGTGGCCGGAGGGCTAGGTCGAGCACCATGACAGACGTTGTGGCACCAGAACAACTACATGGGGCACTAGACCTGGAGAAGCCCTGCAATAGTGCACCCAGGCATGCAGAGGTGCTCTAAAGGTGGGAGGCATGATGACAAGTCTATACAGTGATTGGTGGTAACTTTAAAACACAAGCAGCAAATATCTCCATATCTACTTGAAGCACTGTTCTTCTACCTGAAATTTGAAGGTACAATGTTTGCTCTGCAATGCTGATTATAACATGAGGTTGTGCTATATGTGTGTTTAATCAATGATAAGGTGAAGTATCTGTCTTCATTTCCTTTACTCAGTGCTGAAATCTTTAGAACCCTATGATTAATATTATCTATCCTAGTGATCCCAAACTGGCTTATATAGCACTAATCTTTCTGCTTACTTATATGGCCCTATCACAGCGTTGTCAGACTCCCTCACAGACTGTAAATGAATTTATCCTGAACAACCATCCTGTTAGTTACAAAACGAAGAGCTGAGATGCAGAGACCTTACCACGATTTGTGCAAGGTCACACAAGAAGTCTGTGGCAGTTCTGAGAACTGAACTCGGATTTCTTTTGTTTTAAGTCCAGTGACTAAACCACAAGACTGTCTTTCTGCCGTAATAGCACTTCAAGGCTTTTGTGACTGGTATTCCCTCTTTCCTCTTCCTACATTAATAGTGGACCCTGGTGCACTGCCGATTGTCTTAATCAGATCTGTATATTTCAAACCACAGTGTTGCTAGCACTGCCTCAAATATTAGTCTTTTAAAACAAGCAACTAGTTAGTACATCTAAGAGCTTGGTCTGGTGAACTGGTAAGATTGCCCAAAAGTTTGAGGAACATGGCTGGTCTATTCACTTGAAAGAGTTCAGTAACATGAATCTCTGTAACTGCACATGTTTAAAAGGCTTTGGCAAAAGGACGTTTATTTTACATTGCAAATGAATGATATTTCAGTGACACTTAAGAGGCTCATTCCCGGCATTCCTTTCTCGGGGTAAGGGAAAAATACAGTGGGTGAGAACAGCAGCATTAAGGAACTCCCTCCATATGTGTAATCTGCAAGCATTGCCTGTATCCACGTCCCCCTACCTGTACTATCAAGTTGCTAAGAAACCTGAGATTGTTTTCTGTTTGTTCTTGCTTTTTATTCTTTCATACATTATAATTTCCCTTTTAGTATAGAACTGTGGCACGTAAACTCTGTATTGGGTTTATTTCACCTCGTATTTTTCTTAATTTCCTAATCTTTTAACAATTAATTTTTCATAGGCAGTTTTTGGCAGCTCACTGGTGTTTATACATACTGACACTGAATGATTGTTGCTTTTGCTGATGATGATAGTATTGACCAGTACCAAATTGTACCTTCATGCTAGCGTGGAATGTGTGTCAATGCAAACCTATTTAAGCAGCCAGAAGTTCCCTTCCCCCCTATTTAAATTTTTCATTGCCCATCTCACCAGCAGAAGAGCTAAAATAATTACCTGCAGTCTCATTTTTCACTTTACTACATGCAGATGTTGTGTGGTTGGGTAGTGAGAAGCTAACTGGGAGGGGCCTGCTCTGATGCAGCATAGGCATATGACAGCAGTAGCAGCAACAGCAACCACACAGCTTCACCGGGCAGCCTTTGCTGCAGTACGCTGATTACCACTTTCTTAGCATCCGGCAAGATTCCACAGCAGCAAGCACTTGGAGCAGACTCTGCAGGGGAGCTTGTTTAAGGAGTACGTGACTAAAGAATTGGGTTAATCTTTAACTGCAGGAGAAGTGCCTGTAGTTTCTCCACACAGACACCCTCCTGGGTTTTTTGCAGTCTTAATTTATTGGAGCTTTTGTCCCTCTTTCTTTTTTGCAATTATTCTTATTCTTACTTATTTATTATTCACCCCCCAAATCTGTGCTGCATCACTAGCTCTCATTATGCGGTGCTCAGTAGCCCAGTCTGTTCTCCGCCTCTGCTAGGCAGTGGCAGCATGGATGGTGCTCTTGTGACGACCTCTGCTGATTCTATCAGTCCACTGCGGATAGGCATGCTGAGTAATCCTGCTGTAAATGGGCGAGGACACGGACACACGGAAAATTAACCACAGCTTTCTTCGAGACCACAACTATGTGACTGAAGGTAACATAAATGTTGTCATTATTCTCTTCGTCTGCTCTTGACTGTCTGTGCTTTCCAAGCAAAGAATGTACTGCATGTTTGGATATGTGTGTTAAAAAATTCTGTGTAGTAGATGGTGCAGAATCAGTTTGGATTTGTTAAACCCAAAGGGTATTCTGTCATGCTACCACAATATACTGAACTACATGGGTTAGAGAAGGTGTTACATTATGATCAATCTGCGCTAGTGAAGTATGCAGCACCTAGCATTGCATGCCTAGCAGATGCACTGGAAAAGATCAGAGATAAGTGATTGATTAAAAAAAAAAAAAAGAATAAGACTTGCTAGCTCAAAACTCAAAAATAATCTGTAATGTTAACTGTATTGGTGGTTTACTGAAGGATGTGCATCTAATTTTGACAGTTGTATCAGAACATCACAGACATTGCTGTGTTGTTTGTTTCCTTGAACAGTATAAATCTAGAAGCAATATGTATACATCATTTTTGGAATACTAGTGGCTTCCTCCCAGCCTCTATGTACGTGCAAAGGATTAAAGGAAAAGAGAGAACTGTAGTTTGAGTCTTTCAATGGCTGGTAGCTTGTTACATAAAAGAGGATGCACCTGTAGGTGACAGATATTTTACACTGAGAGCCAACTTACCCAGGTACATAGCTTGGGTCGTGATACTGTACAGCTTCATGTTTCATTGCTGAAAAGTTGGTTGTAAAAATAGGCCATCATGAGATTGCTTGAACAGAGAAAATGTATGCTTATTTGTAGATCACGGACTTCTAAATATGTATTTGTGTGTGTGGTTTTTACAGTGTTTTGCAGCAATAGCAGCAGTATTGTACGTGTAGTCTTGCGTAATAGGAGCATATTTAACATCATGTTCAATCAATACCACTTGAGATTGAATATCTGGGTTGTGTCGTCATTTGATCAGTGTTTAGTCATCTAATGCTGTCATGCTGCATCCTGAAACTTGATCAGCTGAGAATAGCTTGATTATTTGTGATTTGCATTTTTTTTTCAGGATGCAGAGCACAGCAGGATTATTTATCTGCACTAGAAATACAAAGCAGATTTTCAAAGAGAAAATAACAAAACACTGTGCTTGTGGCCAGTATGATCATTTGGTAATCTTGCCTGTAGGGTATTTCTTGCTTTTTGGTTCATGTTATCTTGCATTCTTCCTTGTTGTTGTTGTTGTTGTCGTTTTTTGGATCATGTTTTGTTGTTTATAAGGTGCTTTATGATTACTTTTTTCCCCACTCTTGAGCTGTGATTACTTAAAATAACATTTGACAAAACTTTCTCTCTTAAATGTATACCAGAGTTACAAAGATGTACAGCATGACTTCTGCAGTGAATTACATGTTGAGGTTTTAATGCATGTTCGTGCACTTGTGGGCCTTTGTTGGGATGAAGACTGCAAGAAGACAGGGTACATTTTAATATGTTTAATAGTTTTGGAAACTTTAGGGAAACAATCCCTTTGGAGTTTGTAAATAACATTTTGTAAAATATGTTTGCGTGTTGCAATATGTGGATTTTAAAAAAAATTATATCTAGTCAGCATTGCTGTGTACACTGCTGACTCACTTTTTGGCTGTGGCTCACTTTTTAGCTTCAGTTGATATTCAGAGCGGAAGGTAGTAATGCTCTTCCATGATTGTTATGCGCGGACTGACCTGCCTGAATCAGATCAGAACAACCCTCGAACAGGAATGTCATCTGTAGCTATATTGTCTTTATGACCAGAAATCCGGATGACATATTTTGTTGATTGAACATGAGGAGTGGTGGAGCAGAGGAAATCTTGTGTTAGGGAAGTGTTGCTTCAGCAGCTCCATCTAGTGTAACACATCTCAGGGAAAAAGACTGAATTAGGAAAAATTGACATACAACTCTTCTCTCCTCCATTATCTCATAAACTTCAAACCTGGGAGATCACAACACACATTGAAAGACCACACAGGTCAGTAGCAGGAAGTAAGGAATAAGCCTTTCTTCTCTGAAATCCACCATGCTCTTGAGGATACCTTCAGTTTTAAAGTCCCATAAAAAGAACCACCAGTAATTCTAATTAATCTCTCACTAATCTAACTTTGCTAGAACATATACTGGGCATGAAGAAGTATTTGTTTCTTTATTCAAAGATTTTGATCATTGAAATAGCCACCTAAGATAACATTTCTCCTTCATAAAAGTCCCAGGGGAAGAGCAATCATCACACATTATCCTATCACACTTCAGTATTATGCATAAATTAATTAACACAGAAGATTCAGGCAAAGAAATAGAATTAGCATTGAATATCTTTTGGCATACAATTTTGTTTTGGCATAAAACAACTCTTGGGTTTTCTTTGATAGGGTGTAAATACAAATTTCCTGTTACCCACCCCCCTCTGCCATGAAAGTAGATCAAAGCAGAGGTTTTGTGATCCAGTTGATTTAAAATAAACAAGTCTTGCTTTTTATTCATAACATTTTTGAAAATTACCCATTGTTTTGATATATTTGAGTCCACATGTAACTTAATTTTTTTCTTCTGTACTCATACATTTAAAACTGCTGTAAAAGACTCCCTCAATCTTCACTTCTATGCCTGCCACGCCATACAGCAAACTAAATTCATTTCCAGAAATAAGGCATTTCTGACCTTTTATTTACTTTTCCCTCTCCTCTCCTTAGGGAAAATAGATGAACAATCAAGAGGACACCTGAAGTTAATTATGGCATTGTTTATCTCCCCTCCCCCATTTCAGTGCATGGATAACAGTACTGATATAGAGCTAAATGACCAAGTGACATCCAAATTCATACCTTATATGAAAATGATGTGCCAAATCTGGCTCATTCTACTCATGCTAGTGGACCAGTTGATTTCAGTGGTACTATTTGCATGAGCTAAAGCACACAGGATTTGAGAATATACATTGGTTACTTGTAATGCCAAGGTAGCTCTTCCAAGCAGCATTGTTTATACATCATTTATTTACATTGGGGTTATCTGGGCTAATTATGATTCACCTTAATTTTTAGAATTTAGGTTATTTTAAAAACTTCTTGTTTGGCTTGTCAAGGTTCTTCTGGGAAGTAGGTTTTAGCATAATTGTGTCTTGTTTGGACTTGATCCTGCAGTTGTGTTTGCAGATTTCCATTTAAGTTAATGGCATTACAACAAGCATTAATTTGGGCCATTTTCTCATCTTAGCTCATAAAAATGTTTTACATTTGAGTGATTTTAAAAAACAAGAAAAACTCAAATGTCCAGTTGAAACATAAAATGTATTTTGCAAAGTTTTCATGTGCAAGAGGTAGATTAAAAAAAAAAATCTAAAGGTGAATTTCACTGCTGTTATATTTTTATCAGTACTGTTTCTGCACTTGCATCCTAACTCCTGGACCTGTGCGAACCATAGGGATGTCATTTGAAGCAGAGAACAGTTCTCCAGTGCTGGGAAAATATCTTGTAAAGATCATGTACGACCTGTACAGCTATAGAACATCGTTAAAGAGAGGAGGGAAACAAGGAGAAGAGACAGGTTAACGTAGGACAGAACAAGGAGGTGAAGAATAGAGGATTAGGGTTATTGTAACACAGACTAAAACAGGAAAGGCAGAAGATGCTGTTTTTCAAGTAAAGAAACGGAGAGATACCAGAAGGGAGGAATGGAAGGAGAATAAATTAGATTTGGAAGCTCTTTGGAGCAGAGAAGGTTCTTAACATGGAACCTCAACCATGCCTGGGATCTCTAAGTATAACTGTAATACAAATAATAAAGAGTAATAATAAACTATCAGGAAAAGACCCATAGAAATGAGAAGTAGAAGAGAATATGGTAGGGGTTCTCAACCTTTTTCTTGCTGAGGCCCGCCCAATACGCTATAAAAACTCCATAGCTTACCTGTGCCACAACAACCGGTTTTCTGCTTATAAAAGCCAGGGCTGGTATTAGGGGGTAGCAAGCAGGGCAGTTGCCTGGGGCCCCATGCCACAGGGGCCCCCGTAAAGCTAAGTTGCTCAGGCTTTGGCTTTGGCTGTCTGCCCTGAGCCCCAGCAAGTCTAATGCTGGTCCTGCTTGGAGGACCCCCTGAAACCTGTTCACGGCCCCCCAGGGGGCCCTGGATCCTTGGTTGAGAACCACTTGAATATGGTACAGTGCTGTCTAGAATTAGGGTGACCAGACAGCAAGTGTGAAAAATCGGGACAGGAGGTGGGGAGTAATAGGAGTCTATATAAGAAAAAATCAGGACTGTCCCTATAAAATCGGGACATCTGGTCATCCTATCTAGAATGGATCAGAGAAGAATAGAGAGAACAGGAAAAGGATAAGGCCTTACTGGGACTTTTCACATGCTTAAAGTTAGTTTGCTTAATAGTTCTAGTAAGGTGAATGGGACTACTCGCATTTATAAAGTTAGAGCACCTTTCTGAATTGAGACCTAGATGAAGGGGGAAAAAAAATCTGTTTTGTTTTTCTGGCAGAGAGGATATTTTGGGGGCAAGGGATGAGATGGCTCTCTAGAGCATCTGCACTATATTTCTGGCTATTCTGTGTTCAGTAGATTAGTAATTGGCAAAAACAGAGAGAAAATTAACAAAAATTCACCACAATGCCTATAAAACTCTTTGGCAGGAGGGTGGGGGAGAGGATCCAGGGGCAACAACATCTCCAAGACCCAAGTTTACCTGGAGAATTGATCCTCAGAAAACTTTTCAGAAAGTTGGTAGCATTGTCAACCCCAAGAGTTTCAAATCCATGTGTTAGATTCCCCCAAAATCCTGAGATTGGCCTAAAAACCATGATATTTTAAAAAATAATAAGTTTGGGATTCTTTTAATTTGCCTTCTGGTATTGTTTAACATTCAGTTTTCACATTTTCAAGCTTTTCCTCTGAAAACACATGGAAAAGTCACTTTCTGCAAACAGGACCTAACAGTGGAGTGTGTGGTCCATATATTTGTTTATCTGTGCCCCTAATTCAGCAGTGGCACTTTCACATT